GTGTGTGTGTGTGTGTGTGTGTGTGTGTGTGTGTGTGTGTGTGTGTGGGCTACAATACTTGGGATGACTGACTGTTTCTAAAGCCTCTGGCAGGAAACCTGACGACTGTTCTGCTCAAACAACCTGCTGCTGACAGACTGCCCACCTGTCCATCCGTCACCAGGTATTAACAAGCCCATCTCTCCTCAGGGAGACATTCATACAAGTAATATACTCTCTCTGTGTGTGTGTGTGTATATATATATATATATATATATATACAGAGAGAGAGAAAGAGACACACACAAGCTCATCCAAAGTAATGAACTACAAAATAAGCCTCAACTCCTCTGGGAGCTCTTTCCATCAGATGTTTGAACCTGGATGCAGAGATTTGTTCCCGTTCAGCCAAAATCAAGTGAGGTCAAAAACTGATGTTGGTTAATGAGGTCAGGATCACAGTCACGGCTCTGTTCTTCCGTCTTCTTCATGGACCTGGCTTTGCGTATGAGAACACTGTCATGTTGAAATCAAGCCGCAACCTCCGGTGCTTAAAAAACGAAGCTGAGTAAATACCAAAAATTGCATTTCCTTGAATGGCCACTCAAGGCTGGTTTCAGAAGTGGGTCAATCCTTATAGAACTACAGTATGTTAAAATACTCAACTTTATAGCACAAATAAACATGTTTACAGCCTGGTAGAACAATCTATTTGGGTCTTTATAGCTTATTTTCCCATACATGACAACAGAGGGTGAATTTTTATACAACTTACTGGTTTAAATTATATTAACGATTCGTTTGCCTCTCAACGGCTCTCAACATGACGACGACGAGCCGGCGGCTCATAGCCAAGGGTGCTAACAGTGCTAACCCACAAAAATGAATGTGCTATAATTCGTAGATATCACATGAAATCAATTAGCATGTGATCCACTAATCAAGAACGATGAAGTACAAAGACCGTAAAAACCAATTCAAGGCTATTTGTCATGTAACTTTTGTACTTAAGTAACACCACTTCAGTCGTTATTTTAACTCAAACGAAGATCTTTTCCTAAAGCTAACTGTAGTTTTTTTTGCCTTGTTTGCTGTAAAGACAGGTTTATTTTGAAAAGACAGTATACTCATATAACGAGTGGAAATTGACACGCATTGCTTAACTTTCGTTGGAAAATGCACAAACAATGACGAGTAACGCCTTGTTAAGATATCAAACAAACGTTTTATGAGGATAAGTTGCTGGCCCGAAACGTACATATATTCTTTTGAGATTTCCCTTCATTGGAACTCACACCAGGAAAAACAGACACAGACCACAGCAGTCATTAGAGAGCACAGATGAGTGCGATAAGAGGTGTGACGAGAGAGTGTGTGAGATGGTGAAGAGGCCGTTGATCTGTTGAAAAGGTCACAGCTGCAACAGACACAGCTGAAGAAGAACAACACTTCATTACATCCCTCTGGAATACACTGACTGATAGAATGTGTGTGTGTGTGTGTGTTCATTATTATGTCACTGAGCTGACACCACCAGCAGTGGTACGAAAACTCATTTCTGAAGTTGGTTTAAAGGAACATTCCACTAAACATCTGCTGTTGTTGGTGAGCTTTACATCTTTGGCTCATTTTTCACTGTTTTCATGTAATTTTCTTCTTCCTGCAGAAAAGCCAGACACGACATTTTAATGCAATTTGAAAACAGTTTGTTTCACGGTGTTCTTCTCAGTGCGTATACTCACTCTGGTGAGTCTGGTGGGAGTCACAGTGAGAGCAGACGTGACTCAAACGTTCCTCCAAACAAGCAAGAAATAAGCCTGTTACTCATCCTGTGACCAGTCATGACACAGCACTCATGATGCAGGTAATGTTGTGGTGAACGAGTCACGCTGAACAACTTTTATTACTTTGTGGTTGCAAAAACATCTTAATTTGCAACCACAAATGAATCCTTATAGAACTACAGAATGTTTATGTTAAAGATATTGTTTTTTGTGATGGAAATCTGAGCTAATGACTGATTTAAAGCTTTTTACTTCATCACAACTTGCTCCTCTGTTATCATGTGGTCACTGACAACCTTCACTTGGACCGACGGAGTCATCTTAACCACGAATACTTGACAGTACAGAACGTTTCGCCGCTCTGAATGAAAACATCTGCCAAATGAAACATATGAGCCACACTAGAAATGCATCATTTTTTCAGAAAGTGGGAAACGTGGGGCAGCTCTATATTTAGGGAGTCAGATAAGGCGAGTATGTCGTTGGTGGACCGGACTGAGCCGCGCTGAGTAATTCTAAACATGTCAGCTATGTGACGGTTAAACTGCAGGAAACGCTGAGAGATAAGAAGCTGGAGGTCAAAGAGGCGGCGAGCCGAGCCTCTTTAACGTCCAAAACTTTGTCACTTGGCATCATGGATATTTCCTGTTGTACTCCATTTAAAACAAAACTAGACAATATGCCACGAATGAGCTGGAATTCATAGAAGAGAGCACCATTTCACTATCACTATTAAAAAGTGTTAATAAACAGCATATCAGGGAGAGAGGACAGTTTGATTGGATTGTTTCCAAAATAGATGTTTCCTCACAAACTCTGTCTGGAAATAAAACTGAAACATAATAATGATAATAAGGATGATGAGGATGATAACAATTTTTCTAATGAATGAATCCTTTAAAAAAAAAACAAAAGTCAACCATTTCCCAGTTCCAGCTTGTCATTTGTGAGGAATTACTTCTTTCCTCAGTCTTATCTTTTCATAAATTCAATATTTCTTTTGTAGTTTGGACTGTTGTTCAAACAAAACAATTTGATGACATCGCCTTTGGCTCTCTGGAAAGTGTTACAGGCATTTTTTACTGTTTTTTTTCTGGCATTGAATGGATTATGAAAAACATTGTTAGTTGCGAGTCTATTGGTTGTTTTCTTGTCTGAGAGTTCTTGTTTTGTATTTTGGTTACAGATATACCTCCCCACTATCCTGACGTCCATTGTGTGTGAGTGTGTGTGTGTGTGTGTGTGTGTCTGTGTGTGTCTGTGTGTGTGTGTGTGTGTTAGAGGTTATTTTCACCCTGGTGATGGCTGTTTTTCCAGCTCCTGTATGCAAAGAAGGGGTTGGGGGGATCAAACCCCCGACAGGTGACACTGATCCGTCAGGTTATATGACTCAGACTGATGTGACCTCTGGACGAACAACCAGAGGATGATTTACAGGAGGGATCTGTGGGAGAATAACTGCACACGACAGAGCCAGCGCGGGGGGGTGGTTAGGGATCAGGTCCTCGTGTTCGTGGATTACCTTCACTGACTGAATTACGAATCTCCAGCTGTTTGAAAGGGATCGGGTGTGATCAACGAGAGATTGGAGAGATATAACTGCTTTGTCTATAGCAGGTCAAATAACCAACATGATATAAAAAAATCAGCATGAGGTCAACTTCTTTTTTAGGGCCGAGCAATCCATCGAGTGTTGCCATCTTGACATCGCTCAAACTGACTTTTTCGGCCGGTAACTGCTGCACCTTTTTCCTCCAGCAATAGTCTCTTTGGAGAAATTATCTCCAACAAATATAATCTCATAAATTTCCACCGATTAGTTGTTGAGTAAATCATTTTGTGTCGTCATTGTTTTTGGCTGATCATGTCTGTGCCATATAAAGCAAAAGCTTTTTTTTTTTAAAAGTTTTTTAAACTGTTAAAAAAGACGCACTTAAGAGGGCGCCATCTTTGAGTCTGATAGCCAGTTCCTATCCTTGACTTGTGGCGTCTAAGGACGAAGCTTGATTGAAAATGATGTTGGCCAGACGTATATGTCACTCAATTTGCCTTGACAAAATAAACCAGCTCTCAAACAGAAATGAATCATCATGAACACAATTCTGTGAAATGCAGTAAAACGAAAGTTCACTTGAACTCACAAGAGTTTCTCCATCAACAGACGATCTCCATCACATCAGAGTCAGACTACCTGACCCTCTGACCCTTGACCTGCTTACTGTTGTTGTTAATCTGGAAGTATACATGACATATTTCAGCTGTGTGGATGTCAATGTTTCTGTCCTACCTTCTCCATGGCTGAGCTCACGTCCATGTTGTCCAGCGTCCGTCGGCACTTCGACTCCTCGGCTCTCTCTGCCGCTGCTCTTCCAGAACAATGGGGCTTAAATTCCTCTCCTGTCGACCACACTTCCTCTCTCCCCGCCCACAATCGCTCCTGCCGCCGCTCTGCTCCGCCGGCTCTCCACAGCCCACTGCAATTTAACTGTCTAGACTTTCACCTCATTCCTGTAGAGAAACATCAGCTCACTTCTTTACTTTTAACTCTCACTGCAAAGTCATTTTCCTCTTTCCAGCTTGATTTCACAATTCCAACTCTTTTCTTTCTCTTTCTTCATAGAATCTCAACAAAACTCACCTTTTGTCTTCCTCAGCTGTGGACTTCTGCGTTTTCTTTTCTGTTGTCTTTTTTTCCTCCCCTCTTCCCTCCTGATTCGTCCTGTTGCTGGCTCTCCTTCTCCACCCTCTGCAACCTGAACTCAGTCGGTTTCTTTAACTCCTGATTTTGCTCCAACCCTTTCTGCTGTATACACTTCAACAGCAGCTTCCCTCATTCACCTCTGTTTTCTGTATTTGACTCTGCTGAGCAGTGAATTCACCCTGCTTTGCTAAATATTAGGTTCCTCCTCTGTTACAGCTGTAGAGCATGTTGCCGCAGGCTGGCAGTAATCAGGCAGATTCTTTAAAAAACAGCAGCTGCACAGCTGGCTTTCTGCAGCAGACCAGGATGTGAATTCAGTCCTGGTCCTCAGCAGATTGGAGGACTACCTGGTGCAGCGAGGCCTGACTGGACTGTTTATGTTTTTAATCTGAGACAAAGACACAGAGAGCCCTGAGGGATTCCCTGCTCACGCTCGGCCAGCCAATCAGAGTGAGCCTGAAAAGAATCCTTAGCCAATAGGAACATCAGGGATTCCTCCACCTCCTCTCATTCTGCAGCTTTTTAGTGTGAAGTTTAGAAGAATGTAGACCACAGAGTTGAATAGGGCCAAAGTGAGCCAACCAGAGTGGTGTTAAACACAGCCAGGCAGTCCGTAGAGGTTAACAAAGCTAGCTGGACCAATGGGACTTCACAGAGCCAGGCAGGTCTAAAAGAGGAATAAAGTGATCCAGGCAGAGCCGTACAGAGTCAGGAAAAGCCAGGCAGGACCAACAGGGATTAGGAGACCAGGCCAAATCGTTCTAAACAGAGCTAGGCAGGACACTCACGGTCAATCAAAGCCAGACGGCAAAAAAGGGGCTAATGGGGCGAACAGCCAGGTAGAGCCTTTAGCAAAAGTAAAGTCAATGCTGAAGTCTTAAAATTGTATTCTGTCTAATGACCAGCAGGAAGCGACTCCTGCAGTTTCCAGGTACTAATGGCCAGGCATGGGTAACCTCAGTATGAGGCGGAGTCAAGGGTCATAGGCAGGGCTTACCTGGTTTTCGGCAGAGAGACAGGTGCAGCCAATTTAAGTAGAGATGTCAGCGCAGCAGCTCATTTCTAACCAACCCGGTTTTATTGCTGAGGAATACCGGACAGGGGTGGGGCAGGAAACCTCAGGCTGGAGCAGCACTGATGGAAGGGTCTGAGGATGGCCAGACAGCCAGAGCCCTTCTGGTGGTTTACCAGGAGGTCGGCGACGTAGGCAAGACCCCACTGGAGGATAGCCGGACAGCAGAGAAGGACAACTGGGCACCCAAAATATTAAGTGGTGTGCTGCAGCAGAATGCGAGACTACAGACGAGTGGACAGACACAGAGGTGCACAAACAAACCCACACTCACTCACTTACTCACTCAATTAGGGACATTCAGTGGGATAAATAGAACTTCCGGGAGATTTCCAGAACATAGTCAAAATTATTTTAGAAAAAATCATAATGTTTTGAGAAATAGTTATGTTTTATATATTATTATATTTTGAAAAAAAGTTGCAATGTTTTGAGAATGAAGCCGGGATATTACGAAAATGAAGTCATAATATTACAAATATAGAGAGGAAAATATCATAATGTTTACAGAAAAAGTCATAATTCTTATGTTTACAATTTGTTGTTTTTATTCCACCCCAGAAAAGCATGTACACTTTATATTGTTTGTTACGAGGCCAGACTATGACTGGCTTCACAATCCACTGAAGAATGTATTTTCCCATCCAATATTGTGCACTGCCATCAGAGACTGATACTATTTTTAGCCACATGGAAGCGTGGCTCCGTTGGTCTGTCAGTCCACCACTTTGGCCCAGACTGAAATATTTCAACAGCTATTATTGCCATAAATTTGTGCTGGAGGATGAATCCAAAGACTTTGCGATCTCAATAACTATTGAATACACTGCCATGAAATGTGACTTTTCATTTAGTGCCATATCTGCTTTGCCTGTCTGACAGTGGACTTCCACTTCCAAGCAGCACCTGCCGTTCGGAAACGGTGTATGCCGTTGGAACAGGAGCGGCATACCACTCCAGGGATCGGTATATGTCGCTAAATCACATACCATCGGCCACGACAGGAGAGTCACAGCGAAGTCTTGCGTGAATATGCGAAATCATGACAATCTCTGCGTAGAAGATGGAAGCAGAAAACGCTGGTACACCTTAAGTCATATTTTTGTATTTTGAAAGTAAGCTGGTGATGTTATTTGGGTATCCCGCGCAAGTACAACGTCATACTGTACGTTGGTGGCACTGCGTTAGGTTTTGTAAGCTTTTATTTGTGACTAAGTTTAGCTAGTTAGCTAATGCAAGATTCCCGGCCGCCATTGCAGTAGCATGACCGCGGAGCGGCAGCCTTGATAATGAGCCCTCATGTGAGGGAGCCCGCGTCACTCATGTTACCATATTTCCCTCAAAGGAGTTTACGAGGAGTTGTAATTGTTAATTTTGTGCATTTGTGGTATTTTGAAACCGTTAATGGTGATTAAGCGAGATAATGAGAATCTCTGTTGTCTAAAACGCTGTGAAGCGATTGTATACCGAAAGTCATATTTTTGTATTTTGCGGAACACGTTAATTAAATGTGTTGCACCAGATTGAGCCTGTGTGACATCATTCTGTGCACCACTACATATTAAACGACAACTCTATAAAGAATGTTTGTTGTGACACACACACACACACACACATACCTGCTAAATGACCGCGAGGGCACCTGTGTTCCTTGTTGTTTGTTTGGGGAGGGAGGAGTCAGGTGGTTGGCAGGTTGAGGTTCAGTCAGACCGGTTAGGATAAATGTGCCCTGTCTCCCATGCAGGCGGTGTTACGACATTGTCACATTGTAGAAGCTGAATAGTTCACTACATACCTGTTCTCTCCACCCCATATTTATGTGACAGGAATTCACAGAAGGCGTGGTCGCGTACACCTGATGGCTGTATATCTGTGTTCCTCATTCCACAGTTGAAGGCATTAAATGATACGCATCCTATGACACTGCTGCACTTTGTGTCTACTGTGTTTTAACCAACACATTAAACTTAACAGAGAAGTCACACAATGGAGGAAATACTGGAAACACTGGGATTTAACACTGGAATACTGGCGCTTCAATCTGCTGCTGATTTCCTATTATAAACTCGACTTTATAAGGAGGAACAACTCAAGGTGAAAGTAAAGCTTTCTATTTTCTTGACTCACCAACGTCCCTGTCGTGTCTCTGAGTGAAGCTGAAAACACAGCAGGCAATGTTTTCTCAAACAGAAAAGGATCACTCCTGTCCTGTTTGCTATGACATCTTTAAAGATCCTGTTGTTCTGTCGTGTAGCTGATCTCTTTACTGGAGGTGGTATAACTTAATGTAGAAAGCAGCTTGTCAGTATGTCTACATCCTCATGAGGAAACTCTTCTGGTCTATAAAATGGTGCGGTACAGTAGCATTATAAAGGAAGATAGGCAGTAACTTTATGTGAACAATAAAATAATACAATTACAAACTTGTAACATTAAAAAAAAATAGCAATGACCCATATTTCACAAATTGATTGATGGAGCTAGAAGCAAAAAAGTTCTACATTTCAAAAGGCTGCAAATTATGGCAAGGTCAAATAGGAATTAAGTGTTTTTTTACTGTAAGTATTGTGGGTTTTTGAATAACATTAATACAATGTTATTTATTAGTGGAGCTACGTGTCAAAGTGAAAGTAAAACTTATTTCTGTGTTCTGTTTTCAGCTTCACTCTGAGACAAAATGGCTTCACGATCAGAAGAGGATCTCTGCTGTCCTGTTTGCTATGAAATCTACAACGATCCTGTTTTTCTGTCGTGTAGCCACAGCTTCTGTAAAGACTGTCTGAAGAACTGGTGGAGAGAGAAACAAATACAAGAGTGTCCAGTTTGTAAGAGAAGATCATCAAAGAGTGAGCCTCCTTGTAACTTGGCTTTAAAGAACCTGTGTGAGGCCTTTTCACTGGAGAGAGATCAGAGAGCTTCAGAGAGTCTCTGCAGTCTGCACTCTGAGAAACTCAGACTCTTCTGTCTGGACCATCAGGAGCCGGTTTGTGTCGTCTGCAGAGAATCAAGGAGACACAACAACCACAGATTCAGACCCATCGATGAAGCTGCACAGGATCACAAAGAGGAGCTCAAGAAATCCTTGAAGCTCTTAAAGGAGAAACTGAAGCTCTTTGAACAAGTTAAAGGAAACTGTGATCAAACAGCAGAACACATGACGGTCCAGGTCGGACACACAGAGAGGCAGATTAAGGAGCATTTTAAGAAGCTTCACCAGTTTCTAGAGGAGGAAGAGGAGGCCAGGATCTCTGCTCTGAGGGAGGAAGAGGAGCAGAAGAGTCAGATGATGAAGGAGAAGAT